ATCCAATTCACCAGAGGTCCGGACCGATGGGAGGCGCCCCCTTCCCTTTCCCTTGCCTCGGGACACGTGGATGTCGCACCCGCTAACGACGTTCGGGACGATGTCGGTCGCAGATGCGTTTACGACCGGCGATTTGGGGAAGGAAAAGGATTCGATTCGCGCCCGCGCCACCTGAGCTCGTCCGCCCTTTAATAAGGGTATCTTCATCTAAGAGAGAAAAAAGAGAAAAGAAAGACGCAAGAGAATGTAACTGAAAAATTGATGTCAATTAGAACCATGATAATTATAAATTTAATTATTAGATGTAATTAACAATTATAACTTTAAAAATTAAAAGAATCGATGATTGCGAAATTTTTCAGTTAAAGATATGAATTATTTTATGAATTGTCAATGTAAAGATATCTTAGATATGTTAATCGATTTCCTCGTTCTTTCCTTCTTTAGTTTATTTTAAATAATATACACTTTGTTGATTCATATATTTAAATCTTTTGAAGATATATTATTTAAAATATTTTTATAAGAAAGATTTAGAGACTAAAATTCAATTGACTAACATTTAAATTGAATTATCGATTCGATATCAATACAGTTTTTTCCATCATAATAAAAGAGAAGAGTGTAGACGTTATTTTAAAAAAATATATAAATAACGATGTGTAAAATAAGAAATGCTGTGGAATGTAAATGTCGTATTTAACGAAAATTTCAACGGAATTTCAACGATGGATTTGCAAGCGGGATATGGGGCCGTTGTTGTAATTCTGTTACGTCATCATATGCGGCGAGCGTGTACCTGCTTTTCGCTTTGAATTTTTTCGCGCACGTCATTCCGGTATTTAGCCGGATTGCCTTTTGAATAAGTCCAACGCGCTTTTTGACGCGCGAAAAAAGCGCACGCTGTGCGAACCAGCCAACGCGACGTAGGTACACACACATTTAGCGTGGCGTAACGTAATGCAGCGTAATGTGGCACAGTTGATTGGCGGCATATAAACGCGACGACTGCACGCGAAAGCTGCGCCCAAAAGCATATGCAAATATACGCAAGAAACCTGACACAATTTATAAACTACACGCCTCTCTCGAATATGAAAGAAGAATTGATTTCGGTTTAAAATGAAGAGTCATCGCAAAATTTTTCGGATCACCGCGATTATTATTTCTCTTCACGTGGATTTCATCTTTTCGAAACAGGCAAGTCATCTTTGCCACTTGATATCTACGAAACACTTTACCGCGTAACAACTAATAATTTCTTCGTCCTGTTTAAAGGTGCGATCTGATGCCGCGCGCTACTAACAGATATGATAAACTGTCTTCGGTGACTTTCTCTGTTCTCTCGATACGTGTATCGAATCCACAGCGAAGTATCACGTCGCAGCTCATTAGGATAATGCTATTGAAATCGTGGTGATGACAGTGACACGCCGAATAACATTCTGTCATTGATAATCTGCAAGGAAATCGAAGATGGTGACACGCGCCAGTAAAAAAACGTAAATGATCACTTACCTTATTAACTTCCGTTTCTTGACGGTTTCTTGTAGCCGTCTACCGTTATCTATATCTGATCGCTGTTGCACAGATACGCTTTCTTAATTAGCATAAATCGAAAAATTTATCGCGCCAATAATAGTGCTAATCTCGATCGACTGATTGAGATCAAAATTAATTTATTATTGGAGCGATAGATCTTAAACAAAAAAGATTAGGTCCATTAGATTTTACGAATAATTCGACTGTACTACGAATGATATTTTCGTAAAGACGAGTATTTGGAAATATATTACTAGATAATTATTAAATAATATTATTTAGCATTTCAATTTAATTTTTTAATCGTTTAATTTTTTTGTATCTCGTGATTAAAGTAGAATTAATTAACGAATGAACCATTTTCGCTAAACGAATAATGAATTATGTTTGCGCAATATATCATTAATTAGTCAAATACTTTCCTCTGTCCTACACAATGTCATTCGCTCAGTCGAAGGAAAACTGTCACGCGTCGATCAGAAGGAAATGAAATGCACAGCTCCGTATACGGAAATACGAGGTGGTTTATTATAATAGTATTTATAATCGTTATGCCTCGCGGCGGCGCGTCTCTTTCTCGATCTGTCTTACGCTTGAGTTGTTGCGTCACAATACACACACACACACACATATATATATATATATATATATGTATATGTATATATATATAATTTTATTTTCGGTGGCGTAAGTTCGTAGAGTAAGTCCAGCCGTCTCGCGCAAATCGGCACGCGCGCATTTTCAGCAAAGAGAGAGAATAGAGTGTTTTTCTGAGTGTTCCTCGTGTATTTACATCGATTTCGCCGCTCTTAACAGATACAAATTACACGTTTCCTATTTATATTTATACTTTAATGATAATATTAGTACAGCGCATGTCCAAGTGTGTGGATACGTGTATCCGTGTATCTGTTTGTATGCACGTATGACGTTGCGTGTAAAATGTGTACGTGTCTAGCGATCAGTGTACGCGTGTCATTATCAGGTGTACAACAGCAGATATCTACAGGGTGTCTTTAAAGTAACGTCGAGAAAAGAAAATAATAATCAACAGGGAGGGAGTACAATATTACACGATAGGGACATCTTCGAATTTTATACACAATAATAATAATCAATAATTAATAATATTAATAATAATAATAATGAAAAAATAGTAACGTCAGCGTCGCGGCGCCGAGGTGCGTAATCAATAGCGATAATAAGCGTCGACCGTGCGTCGACGACGATGTGAATCGAGGCGCGCGGACAAACGTTTTCATATCTATATATCTTACACAAAGAACGAGTCGATATTTCTCACAACTCGATCGCAATTGCGAAACGGAAAGAATGGAAAGGACAGGGACGAAAAGAAAACGGAAAAAGTAGGGAGTAGGAAGAAAAGCAACGAAGCGCCGAGCCTTCCGTCGCCCTTCGGACTCGAAATCGCCGCAGTCGTAGCCGCAGCAATCGTCGCTGTTGCCGTTGCCGTTGCCGTTGCCGTCGCCGTCGCCGTCGCCGTCGCCGTCGTCGTTCCTCGCTCTCGCTCTCGCGCTTCGGCGGCGCGTTCTCGCGATCCCGTTCGATTTTAGGCGTGCGGGCGGAATTGTTATTATCATAAAAGGGACGTTAATTAAAACTCGTACTACCAGGCGAGCCCTTCGCTCTGCATCTGGTGCGGCTCCAGGAACCCA